CAACTGAGCCATTCAGCCGGCCCCTAAATCATCTTTTTACGTGGGAAGCAAAAGCTGTGAAATATAAACACATTTTCAAGTTAATAATAATAAGCTAATATTTATTGAACACTTAGCATGTACCAGCCACTCTAGTAAGCAGTTTAGATAGATTATCTCATTTTGCTCATAAATTATAACAAAAATGGAAATACTTAAAAGCAAAGTGGAAGCAACACATTTATAAAACATGGAAACGCTGAATAATTTCTTTTGTCCTTATATAAGCACAGCCCTCAATTTGTATTCAATTCTCAGTTATCACAGACAAATTAATCTCACTCTTTTTTCTTGCTTTCATTTTTATCAGAGAGCATTGAAGAAATATTTAGTATTTCTGGGATACGAGTCCATGATCAGGCATTCTTCATATATCAATGTGCCACATACACTCAGGGGAATTGTGAATGGTTACAGGAAGTTAGACTGAGAGAAACAAGGATTCATTTACCCATCCTACTTGTTAACTATTTTAATCCTGTAAAACAGACAGTACTAAATTAGTACTTTGCTATTTTCAGTCAGCCTAAGTAGCAAGTTTATTATTATTAATTTTTCGGTAGTAAACAATAGCAAAGAAGAAACAAGGAGATGCAAAGATGTCTTCTCTCAAAGAATTTAGGAAATTGAAGTGATCTTACACCTCTGAGGCAAAAGTGATTTTACAAAGTTGGAAGTGAAACCCAGTGAGATTCACTATCCTGCAGAAAATCACATGATCAGTTAGCGATGGGTGAGGCTGGAACCCAAGTCTTCTGTTTCCTGTGCAACTCTTGACCACAGAGAATAACGTTTTCTAGAATTTCTCCCTTTCCTTTTGATTTCCTTTTGCCATTTATTTTATTTTATTTATATATTTTTGTAACAACATAATACCTTTTATTATTTTTTTCTCCTACTTCAAATTTGTCTTGCCAGTTTCTTTATACCTTCTTGCTTTCTGCCTTCTGGTCTATGAAAGATTTTATTTCTCTTGCAGAATTTCTTTACTTTCATTATTTGAATAGTTTTGAATTACTTCTTTCTCTTTCTACTTTCACTCAATGACTGTGAAAGGAGGTTAGAAATTTTAAGATATTGAATGTCAATTGTCCCAATCAAAAAATCAGGCAAAATAACAACAACCAAAAGCCAACAATGAAGAAAATGCTGTTTAGCCAAGTATGTTCATCTTAGGTTTGAATTTGCTATTTTTTTTAGTGGTAGAGCTGTTGCAGCTAAATCCTGTATGTTGAAATTTGGATGGTTTTCATTTTGGAAAATAGTAATAAATCTGAAAGCAGAATAGTTATTGCAACAGAAATGTTTTTTTAAAAGTTTGTTTTTGCATAGGAGAAAAAATAAATATGATATTATTGGTTATTTATGCTTTAATCCACAACTTAGCAGTTAATTACCACACAATTTGTATTTGTTCTCTGGCTATTCTTTGTTGTTGTTTTTTCCAACTAGAATACAATAGGGCATTACTGTGCCCAGTTTATATGCTAATTTTAAGTTTTAAATGTACCATTATTGTGTGTATGCATTCAAAATAGAGAAATCTAGACAAATAAATTCCAATTCTTGTCTTGTCTAAATGCCTTGTCAGAATTAAGTTCAAATAAAGGAGCACAAGCTGACCCAAATACCCCCTTGATTGAAGAAGTGTAAAGTGTTTCCACACACAAGAGCTGAGAGATGGTAAGATTTCCTTTATCTTTCTCTTATTTCCCAGTGGTGATCTTCTTTGACCTACACCTGTAACCTGCACACGTGAGGCCTGAGATGCAACACAAGAAGGGAGAGACAGGAGAAGGAGAAAGGGAGGCTTGGTAGGGACCTATGATGACCTCAGACACTCAGCATTTTAGTAACTACCACCATCCCCCGTTAAAATACAATAGTTTGTTCAAGCTGCCCTTGAAAAAATAATAAAAACACTCAAAAACTGAGGCATTTCAAAGCATTTCCGCTGTGCAAGCATGTGTGTTCGATTAGTTTGTTTGGTCCAAAGAGGATTAAAGGGACCAAGGGAATGTTCAATCATCCTATCCAAATTAGCCATTTTGCAGCAAAGTGTCACTTCTGATCGCTGTGCTAGTTAAACATGTGCACAGAGCGCATAATTGTTGTCTGGGTTGATCTGAACAAAACTTCCCCAGATTTCTGGCGGGAGTTGTGGTCAGAACACAACATCCATGAGAAATTAGCATTGCCACATGTTCAGTGTAGAAAGGAATCCAGGCAGTGAGTTTAGTGGAAATGAGAAAGTGGCTCTAAAAGAAATGTCAGATGTTCACCTCTCTTTCGTAGTCCTTTCAATGGTGATTTTTATAGGACTTTTATTTTGTTTCCTATGCACCTGCCGTAAATAATGTCTTCTCCTCTTAATTGTCCATTCAAATCTACACTACAACTGAGCCCAAGAATGAGTATTGAAGTATCTAAAGGACCTAGTTGGGAAAATAGAATTTTTAAAAATAAAGTGAATAGGGAACAATACATACCAATTTAAGGAAACTTTTCCTACTACTCTAGTCCACATTGGTTTCACCCTTCTTTGTCCTTTGTAACATTTTAGTCAGCCCCACTATATTAGTCTTGATTTTCTGGTCTATTGTATTTATTCCAGTTCAAAAGAAAGAATAGTATATAATCAACTACCCTATAATATAAGGTGATATTACCTTATAATTGCCTTACAATATAAGATAATGTTCATGGCTATTCTTTGTAAACTATTAAGTGCTTTGTAGTGCGTTTAAATTTATTTTGTGTATTACTTCTGGTTCTCAATTTATGTCATAATTATTTTCAAAATTCTATTTTATCTAACATGCTGCACAAAAGGAGGGTCTGTATTGTTCATTCACTTAAAAATCAATCAGTCATTATAATATTTAAAAATTATTCTCAATCATTGAAGGACATACTGACTCTCTAGGTTAACATTCATTAAAGATGACTCCATTAAAGCCAGATACTGCTTCTGAGAAAAGCATTTAATTTGAAGGACAAGAGTTTAGTTTCCCTTATTCTTAAATTCGTGCTTCTTTATCCCTTTGAATAAATCAGTTAGATTTTTCCCATTTGAAAATGATGGTTATTTCTACATTGCTACATAGATTTTAGAAGTACCAAAAGACATCAATAAAAAGAAAACAAATTTTTAAAAAATTGATTTTAGTGACTATTAAAAATCCCTGAAGAGTAATCTCCTTGAAAGCAGAGACTCTTGATATTATCTTTGAATTGTTTTCAGCACCTGGCAAACTATGTTATGGAGGCTTAATTAACGTCTGTTGAATAAATGAATCAAGGTCTGAGAGTAGGGGAGTCCATCTGTGACCAGCAGACCTTGGCTGTAACTATTGCTACCGATAGGGAATTAACAGCATGAAAGGTATCTAGGCATCAAGTGAGAAATAGCATGAAAATGCCATTTAATTCAGGAATGAGACTTCTACACTAACCACTGAACATAAATGTGTCTATAAGAACATTTCCTATGAAAATGGTTTGTTAACACTCATTCCATTATGGAGGTTTTATATGGCACAATACTTAGTTTGCTCTGATAGGGATACTCAGTGGGAATTGCCACCTTATTGATATGTAATTTTAACAATGGAAGTGTGCCAAAATTAATTGGGAATAATAAAGTACATACAAAGTAGAAAATGAAGAAATAAGAGCAGGAAATAATAGCAGGAAAGATATGTAATTGACAGAAAGGATTTCTTGATATTAAATTCAATAAAAAATACTTCAAAGGAAACACAGTATTGTGCAAAACACTCCATCAGTTATCTTTCTATATCCTCTGCTGAGTCCAGCCCCTCTTCCTCCTTTGTAACTGTCTCCCAAGATTTTCTACTCCTCCCTCAATTTGCTCTATTTATCCCATTTCTCATTGAAACCAGCTCTACAGTTTGAATGAAGCCCATATTTGCAGGTATTTGCCAGGAAATTTCTATTTTGACATCCTATTTTTATCTCAAATTCCTGAACAGAAAATCTGAACCCATTCATTTAAAAATAGCTCTTGTGCCTACTTTCTTATTCTCCTCTTCATTAGGTCACCTATTAAGGGAACTTGGTCTCATTCTTTTTCTTTATTTGCTGTAGCCAAATTCTCTCCAAATCATTTATTCTTTCAAACATGTGTGGGAAACTTGTAGGCATAAGGTCATATTTACAAGAATTGCTTTTCCCAATGTCAGTAAAGCTAGCCAAAAGAACTAAAAAAAAAAAAAAAATCAACAAAAATGATCTATGCTGACTTTTAGAAAGGTCTTAACCTCATATACACTTCCAATGATTATCATGAAGACACAAATTCAACCTAATTTATATAGGACGCTAATTTCTCAACACAGTACAACAAGTGTCATTAGTAACTAAAAGAAATAAAGACACTGCAGAAACAAACAAATATGAAGGCGCCCAATAATATCCACAGCTAGAGCTACAAGCATGAATGGACTGTGGAAAAAATAAATATTCAGTCTTGAGCCAATTTGCCAACTGTAGCTCAGCCAGAATTTAAGAAAAAGCTCTAAGCCAGCGGTTTTCAACCTGTGGGTCGCGACCCCTTTGGGGGTCGAACGACCCTTTCACAGGGGTCGCCTAAGACCATTGGAAAACACATATTTTCGATGGTCTTAGGAACTGAGACACTGCTCCTCTATCTGTCTCCAGGTGGTCCGCCCACATGCAAATATGCCCACATACAAGTACCCGGCTTCAAGACAAAATTTCATTTATTTGTAATTAGAAATAAATATTTCACAATATATAATTACATATTATTTTTGTGATTAATCACTATGCTTTAATTATGTTCAATTTGTAACAATGAAAATACATCCTGCCTATCAGATATTTACATTATGATTCATAACAGTAGCAAAATTACAGTTATAGAGTAGCAATGAAAATAATTTTATGGTTGGGGGTCACCACAACATGAGGAATTGTATTAAGGGGTTGCGGCATTAGGAAGGTTGAGACCCACTGCTCTAAGCCAAGCCCCTTTTAACTTGGGAGGTGTAAAATCTGGAAGCAGGTCTACTGGGAAACAAACCTCAGACAAGAGATGACCATATATCAGAGGACCTAAAAACAGAAGCATAAGATGTCAATCTGGTTGACTTTTCATCCAAGGGTGAACACACTGAAGCAGAACAAACCAATTCTCAGCAACACTGTATATGCTGTTGTAGCAACAACTGGGCCCTCAGCCTGGCTTGCTGGATGTGAGGGCTGGACTCCCAACAGGTTTTGAGAGGAAAAGCAGGAGAAATCTCTTTTTACCACACTGCCCAATTCCCCACCTCCCATCCTTTGGTCCTCAGGAAAGTGAATGAGAACATATGGCAACAACATTCAGAACCCCATCTTGTTTGGGAAGAGCAAGTCTGAAGAGAGGCAAGAAGATATCGCCTATACCATTTTAGGGGAAATAGCAGAACATAAATCTGCCCCCAAAGGGAGGGAAGGTGAATGAAGGGAAAGATCATGTTGGTTTCGTTCATTATTCTGCAGCCAATACCTCCAGCAGTGCCTGGCATAGGAGGGGCTCAGTAAGGATCTGATGAAGAAGCTGTTACTGCAGTAGGTAGGAGTATGGACTTTGAAGTCAGAGGGATGGTTAAGAGACCTAGATCTGCAATTGTTTAGCTCTGTGTCCTTGAACAAGTTATATAACACATTGCATCCGCATATATAAAAATCAGGTACTAGTAACACCCATCTTGTTGTGGTGCTTAAAAGACATAATATGTTTAGGGTTTTCAGCTCATGACTCTGCAGGCCATTCTTCCTTGGGTCCCCCAGCTTGGTTCTCCAGTAACAGCAATTCCTCTTCTTACCTCCTGAAGCCCATGGAGCGGTAAGACTTCTCCATTGTTGCTGATCCTCGATTTCCTCAGCATCCCTTACCTTATCAGTTTCCTTACTCCTGACCACAACTCTGTAAGTACTACTTACATGAATTTTCTGGAATCTTCTGAATTGGATTTTGTTTCCTGGTAGGATTTTGAGTGGTACAGGGCCTGGAAAAGAGTAGTAATTAAAAAGGATTACCTTTTGATGGTATTATTGGTAGGAGTTATACTAGCAGTAGTCATAGCAGTAGGAATCAGAGTAGTACAGCAAGAAAAAATATTGCTGCTGTTATGAGCAGAGAAAGAAAAACTGCTACGGCAAAAGAAGCACCTAAAATGGATATAGTATTCCAGAAGTTGGGAGACACCTTTAGATTATAACAGTATCACACCATCAAGAAAATTGAAGAAAATATGTTTTTAATACTAAATATAAAATTTTTGATATAAAATGACTAGTTAATTAATCAACTAAAAATAGTAGCACTAAGAAAAGAAATAAGGGAGAAAGTTAATGTTGTTATAAAATATAAGAATGTGTTTTAAACCAGGACACATATTGGCCATCTAGAAAATGGAATTAGTAAGACTTGAGAAATTAATTTTTAAAAATACCAAGGTAAAAAAATTTTAAATGTTTTAATAAAATACATTAGAATCCAGCAGATAGATAGTTGATTTTTCTGAAAAACAGAACAGAAAAAAATATTCAAAGAAATGTTAGAAAAAAATACTTTAATAAAATGACAAGGTCCTGTAATTCAGAAAGACTCGTTGCCAGACAAACAGAGGGAGAGAGAGAAAGAGAGAGAGAGATTATCCTGAATTATTGATCTTCAACGATTTAAAAAGATTATACATTATCCATGCAGAAGAAGCAAATCACTATGAATTAAGATAAAAAATAGGTTTATATCAAATTTCTACTCAGCAATTATGAATAAGAGAAAGTAACAGAACAATACGTTAACAAGTTTTTAATATAAAATCATGAGCCAAGAATTAAATATTCAATCATTTTTCCCATGTCAGAGTTTAGAATCTAGACACAAATACATGATTCAAAAAGTCTATATGAGTCTGACATAGAAAAATTTATTTGAAGATGTATTCTAGCCATTTACGAAAATACATTAAAATAAGGAATTCTCAAATGGGCAAGCCAAGAGCCTAAACAAATGACCACTGGTGAACTCAAAATGATAATATTGCTTTAATTTCTTTATCTTTCATGGTAAGAAACAATAAATAGCTTTACTTTCAAGTTTATAAATGGAGAAATGTGTTTAAATTTGTGAAAGAACCACTAATGGAAGGTGTTAGAGAGTCTACACTTTGCAGATTACTTAGGGGAATGTTTATGGATGTGGGGTAGGGTTGAGAATGTCAATGATGCAGTCACAGGGGTGGCGAAAAACAAATGAAAAATAGATTATATAGCTAAGTACAGAAAACAAAGGAAACAAAAATAAAATGAAGAGTGTAAAACCAAATATACCTGCTTAATAATAATTAGAAATAAAATAGTCATCTCTTAAAATGATTCACATTCAAAAACCTCAACTCGATTATATGGATCCACAAAGGAGATAACAAAAATAAAGGTTTCAGAAAGTTTGAAATAAAAGAATGGTTCAAACAAAATCAAACAGAAAACTAGGAGGAATCATGCTAAATTCAACAATTGGCTTATGATGTACCTTTCAGGTTTTTTCTTGGTGCTCATTGAGCTTCTGAAATCTTGGGTTTGCAGTTTTCATCAAATTTGGAAAATTTTGGCCATTATTTCATCAAATATTTTATTTTGTTCCCTCTTTTGTTCCAGGACTAAAAGTACACATGTTAAGCTATGCAATATTGCCCCACACATCATTGGGGCACTCACTTTTGTTGAGGTTTTTCTCTCTGTTTCATTTTATTAGTTTCTATTACTGTCTTCAAGTTCTCCGATCTTTCCTCTGCAGTGTATAATCTCCAATCACAGTATATTTTTCATTTTTAGAGTTTTTAGTTGAGTCTTTTTTACATCCTTCACTTCTCTCCTCATCATTTTTGTGCTTTTCTCTACCTTCTTGAACGACACATTTAAAAAATATATATTTGTTTTATTCTCTAATTTAATTTATCATTTGAGTCATTTTGGGGTTTGTTTCTATATTTTTCCTCCCCTCCTAATTATGGGGCATATGTTTTTGCGTCTTTGCATGTCTGTTAAGTTTTGATTGGATGCTAGATATTGTATCCTGTCCATCTCTTGTACTAAATCTTTTATTTATTTATTTATTTATTTTTATACCATTTAGTGTTGGATTTTTCTTTTTTTCATTCCTTTAAATATGTTTTAATTTTTTTTTTTTCTGAGACTCAGTAAGTTCCTTGGAAACAATTTGATCCTTTCAAATCTTGCTTTTAAGATTTGGTAGATCAGGTCCTAGACAGCCTTTATTCTAGGATTTGACCTCACCACTCAGACAATGCTCTCATGAGAACTGACAATTGCTCTGTGTTTTAGGAGGTATTTCCAATCTGGATGGTGGGAGTACAACAAAGCCCGGCCCTGTGTGAGCGCTGGGAATTGTTCTGCTTACTATTTTTCAGTGGTTCTCTCCTTAGCCTTGGGCTGTTTCCTAAACACAACAGAAAATCAACACTGAGCCAAAAACTTGAGGTTACCATTCTGCAAATCTCCCATCCCAGGCTCTCTCTGGGCAGCTTTTTCCTCCCTGGTCTTCTCTGCAAATTCTACTCGTCTTGGCTTTCCTGAACTTCAAACCTGTTTCTTCAACTCAGCAAAGCTGCTGGGCACTGGATTTGTCATCTTTCTGGTACTGACCAGAAACTTGCTCTAAGCCAGAGAACCCATAGGTCTAAATGCACTTGTTTCCCTTCTCTTACAAGTCACTGTCTGGTGTTGTGTGTTGTTCAATGTCTGAAAACTATTGTTTCATATATTTTGTATGATTTTCTAGCTGTGCAATGTGGGAGATAAATCCCCATCCCTGTTATTCCATCCTGTACAGAAGCAGATGTCCTCATGCTAAAATCAGACAAACTCAAATTCAAGGTAAAAAGCATTAAAATGGAGATTTATTTTTTATTGATTATTATTATAATTCATAATGAAAATACAGTCTTATTTTTTTGGACAAGATTTATTCTTTTACCTGTTCCACACATTTTGACTTTGTGGAAAATTACCATGTTCCGGCACTTTCCTGTAACTGGGCAATTTTAAAAGAGAGTCAGTATTCCTGCTCTCAAAAAGCTTCTAATGGAACACAGAAAAATATTAATAACACCCCCAAATAAAATGACCAATAATGAGTGCTATAGAGAGAAGTAAATTAAATATGATATAATAAGTGTCTATCAGACCAGAGATCTGGGACATTGCTATTTCTGCTAAGATCTGCATAACAAGAAAAAAACCTCTATGCACAAAACAGGAAGAGCATTCCAAAAAGTGGGAAGAGTTAGCACAGAACTCTAATATGTGAATGAGTTTGTCCTGTCTGAGGGAGAGAAAGAAATCCAGTGTGACTAGGGGTGCTGAGGAAAGGGAAGACTGAGGTCACTGAGAGAAGGGTTCAAGCCAAGTCTGTATACTGTGTGCACAGAGTTTAAAGTGTGGATTTATTGTCAGTGGGGTTGGAATGGAAAGCCGTTGGGCGGGTTTATGCAGGGGAACAGGGAAGTTCATTCCGACTTCTACGTGAGAATCAAGAATGGAATGAGATCACTTGAGAAATGATTTCAGTAATCTAGGCAAGAGATAACTGGCTCAGACTAGGATGGTATCAGTGGAGAGAGTGGACGGTGGGTAGATTTGAAATTTTTATGGAAGTAGACTTAACAAGACTTACTGTCGAACTGGATTAGGAAACTCTGTTGACTTTTGGTTTCAGTAACTGGGTTTGTGGTCTTACCATTTATTAAGAGAGAGAAAAATGGACGAAAATTGGGGGATATAAAATAAAAAATAAATAACAACAGGAAATATAAGGAGGAATAAAGAGAAACACACCAAAAGAAGAACTTCAAAAACACTTATCTCAACTTTTCACTGACCAAGAAAAAAAAAAAGTAAACATAAAAAAATAAAGAAGACCAGGTTCTGATTAATATAGATATTTATTTAGCTCTATAGTATTTCAAAAAAATATATATTTTCTTTTCAAAAGCTCATGAAACATTTACATAAATTATTTATGTATTAGGCATGAAAGAAAATGTCAACATATTCTAACACATAAAAATAGTAGAGACAAGACTTTTTATCACAGTACCATAAAACTAGAAATCAATTTAAAAATTAAATAAAAATGAATACCCAAAACTTGGAAATTTTCAAAGTATTTCCTAAATTGGGGGATCAAAAAAAATCACAAGACCAAATATAAAAAGGAAAAAAAATATTGTTAAAAACCTACATAATACATACAATGAATCCAAAGATGTATCCAGAAAAATCAATAGTCTTAAATTTTTCATTACTAAATAAAAAATAAATAAACTATTCAACTCAAAACTAGAAAATAATCATAAAATAGATATCAGTAAAACACAATAAGAAAGAAACCCATACCAAAAAAAGGGTTAAATGAATAAAATGATAAATCTAAGAGTAATTTATTGGAGATGCCAATAAATACATAAATAATGAGCTTAAACAAAAATAAGAAAACAAAGTTATAGCATAAAAGAAAAGATTAAAAAACAACACACTTTACACAACATTACAAGAAAGAAAATCTGATCTAAGCATACAAATTCTTAGGAAAAGATAAGTTATGAAACAACTCAAGAAGAAAAGGAGAATGTTATAAAATAATTTTCTAACTTCTATCCTTTAATGTCTTTTACAAATTCAAGCCACAGATAACTTTTAAGTGACTATAGCTGCTCCAGAGCAAAAAAAAAGCAATCTCTATAATGTTTTATAATAAATGAAGTCAGCAAAACTCAAAAAAAAAATGTTTCAATAAGAATAAAAAAGGATAAAATTTCAGTCCAGTATCACTAATAAATATTCATGTAAGTATCCTAAATAAAATGTTAACAATTAGAACCCAGGAAAATGTGGTTAACAAAGACTTAACCCAAGGATGCTAAGAGATTAATTATTATTAGATGATCTATTGCTATAAATGATCATTATTACAAAGAGC